CCAGGCCATCTAGTCTAACCCCTGACTCCAGCCGACTCCACTCATGTAATCCCCAACATGTGGTTGCCTATTTTTTTCCTTGAGCACCCTCACTGATGGGGCTTCAACCACCTCCCTTGGAAGCCCATTCCATATCCTGGGGTCCCTAACCATGAGGAAGTACTTCCTGATATCCAGCCTGAAGCCTGGTTCCTTGAGCTTTGCCCCATTGGAACACACCCTGCCCTCCACTGCAGGGAAGAACAGATCATGGCCCACCTCCACATGACATCCCTCACATATTCTATACTACCCATATCAGACATTTACAAGTGTGCTCCTGCACTTGAAAATGAACAACAACAAAATTTGATATATGCAATCACATTAACACAATTTGGAGGAACTGGAAAAAGGGAGAAAACACAGTCACTCCGAAGTGCTTGTTTGAGCACTGGTACAGGAGGTAGTCATTTGTGCTGACAACAGGCAAGATCAGAAAAAGCTGCTGTTGAAAAAGAAAAATCTACCAAAACTGTTGGAGAAATATCAAAAAAATACTAAATGAGGAAATAACAATGACAGAAGTAATTGAGGTGATTAAGAGACAAAAGAATGATAAAACCTGTGGTCCGGATGGACTACCAGCAGAACTTTATAAATCTTTTGAAGGAACTTTATGTACACCTTTAAAGGATATATGCAATGCTGTATTGTCAGATGCTAAAATACCAAATACTTGGACTGAGGCAAATATTACTTTAATTCCGAAAGAAAACAAGGACTTCACACAGATACAAAATTATAGACCTATATCACTCCTAAACACGGATTACAAAATTTTTGCCTCTGTAATGGCAGAAAGACTGAAGAAATACTTAATAGACTTTATACATACAGATCCAAATGGTTTCCTACCTAAGAGACAAATTAGCAACAATGTGAGAATTATTTTGGATATTCTAAAATACTATGAAATCCATTCTGAAAAACTAATGGCACTATTGTTCCTAGACGCACAGAAGTCCTTTGACAATGTGGATTGGCAATTCATGAAACAATTAGTACAAATGGAATTTGATGGAAAATTTATTAACGCAATATCAAGCATTTATCAAAAACAGACTGCTAGGATAATAGTCAATGGAGAATTCACAAACATCATAGTCATTCAAAAGGGAACAAGACAAGGATGTCCTTTATCACCATTTTTATTTATATTGATTTTAGAGGCTCTAAATAGAAATGTTAGAGAAGATATGGATATTAAAAATGCTAGAATCAGAGATGAAAGCTATAACATTCAAGTATTTGAAGATGATTTAGTTTTTATGTTAGAAGATCCGTTGGTACTGATGCCTAAACTTTTAAAAATGATAGAAGACTATGGTGAAGTCACTGGGATGAAAATAAATAAAGACTAAAGTGCTAGTAAAAAAATCTTACATTGGAGCAAAAAACAACTCTGATGGAGCAAGTAGACCTTCAAATTGTTAAAAAGGTTAAATATTTGGGACTCTTTCTTACAGCTAAGTGTGTTACATTGATAGATAACTATATTAAACTATGTAAGGAGATTAAGAGTGATCTAGAAAAATGGGCTAATTTGCAATTATCACTGTTGGGAAGAATGTCTACAGTTAAAATGAATATATTACCAAAGCTTTTGTTCCTATTCCAAACAATTCCTATAAAATTGATAAAAAGTTTTTTGATGATTTAAATGCCCAAGTTTTGTGATTTATATGGCAAAAGAAGAAATCAAGGATTAAATTAAAAATGCTTCAGGAAGCCAAAGGGAATGGGGGCTTTGGTCCTCCTGATTGGATGCTATACCATCAAGCTTGTGCTTTAATGTGGTTAAAAGAATGGATAACTCTAAGAAATAAGAGAATTCTGTACCTTGAAGGGCATGATTTACAAATAGGATGGCATGCTTATATGTGGTATGAGAAGTGTAAGAAACTCAATGTATATTAGAAACTCAGTGTATATTAGAAACTCAATGATGTCGGTTTGGGAAAAGCTAAAGACAAAGCTTTATACTAAGTTGCCGACTTTCTCCTATGGAAGCTCTTACATATCCAAATGCATTGAATTTTAATATGATTGTGAGATATGATGATATATTAGATAATGATGGAAAATTGAAGCTGAATCAAAAACTACAGGAGCAGGGTATTGATCTTTCTTGGTGGCACAAGATTCAAATACAATCGAGATATATTAAAGACTATAGAATGTATGGTTTTTATAAGGAACTAACAGCATTTGATCAAATGATTTTACAGTCAGATGAAAAAATGATTAAAAGGTTGTATAATTTTCTTTTGGATATGAAAATGGAAGATGAACAAGTTCAGGAAAGTATGATAACATGGGCACAACATTTTGGATATAATATTGAGTTACAGAAATGACAAAAGCTGTAAAAATATTAAGATAACCTTAGCAACTTCATATAAAGGAAATCTTTATAAAATGTTTTACAGATGGTATTTATTGCCAAACAGATTAGCAAAAATGTTTCCAAAATGGATGCTGGAAATGTAAACACAAACCTGGTACTTTTTATCATTTGTGGTGGACTTGTGCTAAGGCAAAAAATATTGGGTTAAAATACACAAATGGCTTGAGGAAATGATGCAAAAACCTTTAACATTTAAACCTGAAGTTTTTCTATTAGGTATTATTCCTGATGACTTCAATAAACAAGCTATACATTTGACTTTACATATAATTACCATTTGCCCAACACTGGATAAGCAAAGAGCCACCTAGTGAAGAGTTGATTTTAAAAAAGATTTTGGACTGCGCGGAGATGGACAGATTGACCTTGTCTTTGAAGGAGAAGGAAGACACATACTTCTATCAAACTTGGAACACTTTTTATTATTGGCTAGAGAAACGAGACTATGCATAGGATTGAATATGGTTATTGATTGTAAAAAAGAATAAGATGTCAACCCAGTATGTCCAATGTCCTGAATAATTGTTGTTTTAGCATTGGATTTATAGAGAAAATAATAAAATTTGATTTTTTTAAAAAAAGAAAAAGCTGCTGTGCTGGTACCCATAATGTAATCGTTCTTCTAGGTACAAATGACATAACAAGCTATTGGAATATGAACAACCAATAGAGCAGGTCATGGGTTGTCAGAGTGGGTTGTTTGTGAAAAATAAGCAACCCTGTGCAAAATGGTGTGTGACTGCACAATATGACAATATATCATGGCTGGCTGTCCATGATGGGCTTTCATGGTGTGTAAACCATGTCAATATCTTTCATTGCTGGTGTTGAGAAAAATGGTGCTTTACCCTTATCAAACTATTAAGATTAACTATATTTTATACATGGCTTGATATAGCATAAAAGTTGTCAAATAAACATTGTGCTTGCTTTTATAAATTAACTAGTAATGATAAACATAAGCTTCCAATTTTCCATGAATCACAGATAACGCTTTGTATACTATGCTTTTTCCTCTCACATATTAAAATATACACTCTAGTAAAATCTGCTAAAAGGAAATTCTTGTCCGAAAGAAGAGTAAAAGAAATGCTGTACTTCAAAGAGATTCAAGGCACATGGTTGGGTCAAGCATGCCACATTCCTGATGTGGTTTATTGGCTGCACAGCAGCGTTCAGTCCTCTAAGGAAACAAAGATAGCTATTCCTAACACTTGTTTATGGGTTGTAAGTTGTACAATAGTTGATTGACTGATAGTAAGTTTGTGGCAATTTTTCTTGGCTACACTATGTAAGATCCACACATGGACATTGGGCTATTTTGTTTAGTCTCAAAGGAAACATTATGTAACTACCTCTATGCATGAAGACTTGGAAAAAAGAAAATACGCTTTCCTGAAACTTAAAATGCAGATCTTGATAGGACTGTTCAAAGAAATACAGTTATTTTCCTAAGGTTCATTGTTTTAAGAATAATTAGTGTGGCTTTTCTTCCAACATTGACTTTCTCTCAAAAAATTACATTATAAAATTATACTGAAGAATATGACAATACTATGAAAAAACTAAGAAAGAATTGCAGTCACACATTTTTGGTTATATGCTGCAGACTGTGTATTTTGGAATGCATATTAATATGTTCTTCATAAACTCATGAAAAAAAGTGAAAAACCCTGGAAGAATTAAGTTGATTTCTCCACTTGCACTGAAACAAAAATATGCCTCAAAATGATAGCAAAATGTACAATTTCTTGCCACTACCCAGCTTATTTATTTACAGTTTTTCCCAACACAATGGATCCAAGACAGGTTATATATTTAAACCCACAAGTTAAAAAGGTATTTTATAATTACATGATTTGTTTAGGCAGTATATTATTATACACTTGCAACTAAGAACATTCAGCCTTCCACAGCTCTGCAGCTACTAGTCAAGTGTACATTTTACTGCTGCCTATTCTCTCCCCATTTATCTTTTTCCTCTCAGAATTCTGCCTCTTCCCCTATTATCTGCTCCACATTTTGTTGGAGAAATCTTGCTTTCCTAGATCAATGCCTTTTTAAATCTTTCAGAATGTCTTCTACCCATCTTACTTATACAACCATATGTCCCCGTCAGAAACCTTCCTCTGCCCTATCAATATCCTCTTTTAAGAGTGAGATGCACTATTGCACTTTCTGAGCATCTAGTGTCCTGGGAAAAAGTCAAAATGCACATCATCTGGAGGACTAGGTGAGCAGGGAGAGGAGAGGATCTCACCACAGAGTGTGTAAATGTCACTACACCCTTTTTTGAAAGCTAAGTTCACTTGCACCTTTGCTTTCTTTTGAAAGCTTACTGTTTGACTACTATCAAGCAAAAGCAGATGGTGAAAAAGCGTGTTTGGACCCTCTTTTAATCAATGTCCAGGTTTGGTACCTACTGTACTCTGACATTAAAAGCCCTCCACCCCCTTCCCACACTCATGCAACTGCAAATGAGCCAACATACAATGGTTACTTCTACTAAAGATAAATGTACACTTGGCTGAAAGTATTGCATCATACTTACTTATATAGATTCTCCAGAGGTGTAGTTAAAACAACAGCTGCTGTTAGTAAATTATTGCAATGTCTGTGTATTTTATAAATATGAGGATTTCTGTCTTTACAAGGATGCAAAAGTTCTTGCACAGATAAACAGATTGACCACAAAATGTGTTCACAGGTCATCAGAATTGCTGCAACATCTATTCTGTAAGAGGAAGAACAAGAACCCTGAAAAAAATCCTACAATACAGTACAATATCATTTGCTAACACCTGAAAAGGTTTTTAATATAAGGATGAAGCATCCCTCTTTTTATTTCTTGAAAATATCAGGCAAAATGAAAGAAAACTACTGTAACAGTATCCCAGAAGCATGCACAGAGGTTCCCTGCTTCTAACAGTTATTGACCTTAAGGGATACAGGTAATCTACATCTGAATTGTTTTGTACAAGTTGATTAGCATCTCCATGCAAATAAAAAGGAAAACATACATATGATACACATGTTGTGTATCATGCTGATACACACACTGGATTCTAAACTGGAATTATAACACTTGGTAATATAGAATTCTAAATAACATCCACACAAACATTTTAGAACTACATGTGCTGGGGTGAGCTCTCACAAGACTGCCAGCTTGACCCACTCTCTTCCTGAGCCCTGCACCGCTCCTGCTGATGAGCGCAAAGACAGAAACTAAATGTTCAGTTTCATTTGACAGCAGAGCATGGAACAGATAAATTAAAGTATGTGTAGTTCTAAAATATTTGTATGGATCAACTTCAAAAGACGTATCTTGAATCTCTTCCTGAATGTGGAGAGAGGAGGACTAGTAGCTCCAAAGAGAATTTGTGTTGTTACGTGACAGCCCCTGAAGATGGCTATCCTATTGCTGCTTGTCCCTTCTGTATACAGCTCCTTCAAATGACTCTGATAGAATTCTAACTTGAAGGCCATGTCCTAACAAAGAATTCTCAGCACTTTTCACTAAACTATAATTGTCAGGATTCTGTCTGTGACAACAGTTTTAAAAAACTGTGAAAAACTGCTGCCAGTCAGTGTTGAAAGTACAGGGCTAGATCCACCATTGCTCTGACCAAGCATAAGGAAACTTCCTATGTTCTCCACTATTTCTTTTTATTTATTTCAAATATGTTTATATTGTCTTTCATCTTACAATACCAGGGCAGTATGCAAATTCCAATCTGAAAATCCTAATATAAAATAAAATAAAAATAAAAAGACAGAGACAACATAAAAGGGAGATGTCAACTGCACTATAGTGATTCTGTATTCTTGTTTTAATTTTTCAGAACATTAAATTAAGAGTTGAGTAGGTTATTTTCATAAATACAGTGAAATACAGTGGTACCTCAGTTCACGAACGTCTTGGTTCATGATCAAAATTTCATGAAAATTTTGACTTGGGTTGCGAACTCCGCATTGGGTGGCAAGCAAGATCGCAGCCGTCTCCCCACCCAGCCCCCGAGTGGGGAGATGGCCACAATTGCAGTCATGTTTGTGAAGAGAAGACGTGTGTGATTATGGGTGCGCTCCTGCAGGAAAGACAGGCACAGCACAGCATAGCCATGATCACGCATGTCTTCCCTGCACGAACGCAGGGAAGACACTTGGAGGAGGGGGAGAAGGCCACGATCATGCTGGTTGCATTACATAACTGTAACGAACAGAGTGTTGCATCTGATGAACAATAACATGGTCTCTCATTTCTAGAGGGTTATGCAGTGCAGGAAAAATCAGGTGACTATAGACAATTTTTTCACCAAAATTGACCCTGCAGCTAAGAGACAAAGAAGAGAGGAAACTCCTGAAAGAGATCTCCCCAATGTCCTTATGGAGGGGGACTCTCCCTCAAAACAATAACCTCCCCCACCACCTAGGTTAGTGTTCTCCACTGTACTGTACAGTACTTTGGTACTTTGTTGTTCTTTGTCACTTTGTTTCAAATTTTTCTGATTAAAAAAATAGTTATAGAAAGGATTACCCTTATTTACATTGAATCTTATGGGGAAATTTGACTTGGGTCACAACCAATTTGGGTCACAACCAGAGTTATGGAATGGATTAAGTTTATGAGCCAAGGTACCGCTGTATACACATTGGAGGCATCCCATGGTGACATTCCACAAATTCAAATGTTGCTCTAAAGGAGTTCTGCCAGGTTTTCTTTATTGCAGAAGTGTGACGCAAAAGTGTCTGCACAATAGGATGTGCAAGAGTAATGCATAATCTATTATATAACTGTTTGTGCAAGAATTATGCACAACTGTGCTTATGCAAACATTAAGTTCAATCCTCTTCTTGCACATAGTTCACAACCTAGTTTCTCCTAGCACAACATCATTTGCACTAACAGAATGGAACAGCTGGATATTATTTTTTATCTCTATAATATAGAAACTGTACATAGTTAACATTACTAAGAAGCATTTTTTTGCAGCTTAAACCACATGTTGGAATATATTTTGAAGGTTGAATTTGTCTTGCTTCAGCTTTTATTATTGCTTTCTTCTTGTTCTTCTACTGTCTCAATAGTAATATTTAATATATTGTTATTCTACTTCATCCTCACAACTAATCATGGCACATGCAATTTTTAAAAAGTAAAAATCCATGACATGCATGACCAAAAAAATGAAATTCGGTAAAGAATGGGAAGATACGTATCTGAAGTAGAAAGCCCCATTCACTTCAAATAGGTCCACTCTAAAAGGGAGTTATGTTAGCTTTTACTCAATCTTTTTATTCTCATGAATGGAAAGCATAATGGATGAAACCCAATTATATCATACCGTGAATGGGAAGGCTTCCATTGGCAGAATAGGAGAAGGCATTTTATTCTTTCACCTGCAGGCACTAGTGTGCCCTCAAAAATCTGTTCTAGATGTAGATTTTTTTCTTCCATTTTAGAGTAGGCAAACTGTGGTTAATTTTAAGTGTTGTCTTGTTTCACAACTCATAGTTAAGATGAAAAACCATTTAGGGTTCAGTTGACATGCTGAATCTGGTTAATCTAAAACAGAACTGTCCACCCTCAGAGGTAGAAAAGGAAAGGATAAAGTACGTGAGCCCAATGCTCACTGTGGCTCAGACTTGTAATAGTGAAGTGTAGTTTAGCAACTGTGTTGAGATGAGCTTAACTTACATATAATGTGGCCAGAGAACCTAAACTTTAGTCACATACACACACAAAAGCAAGCTGATAATCTATAAGAGGATGCCTCTTTCATTGTTTTTCTTTAGGCAAAACTTTTTAAAACTTTATTTCAACAGATTTATAATGTACAATTCTTGCTGCTTTGAAGCTGATTTTATATGAATTTCTTTCTAGAACGTATTCTTAACCTCTAATGTTTTAATATGTTATTTTATGATCTTTGCATTACATTTTCATTAATGTAAGCTGCTCTGGATGCTAAATAAACAGAGCACCAATAAGAATAAATCATTACCTTATCTGTGGTGTTCTTTTGTAACTGGGCTGGGCCTGAAAGTATCTGCTAGCAAAGAGTGCCAAAGTTTCTTCCAGCACCTCTGTTAGAATCTCCTGGGCTAACACAGGGGGTAGAACAGTCCATAGATCATGATGAAGAGCACAGCAGAAATAATGCCACATCTGGACAGAGAATGAGCATCTTTCCCCCTGGCAAAACCAGCAAATGTTAAACAACAGAAACACATCTTCCTGAATGTCATTTTGGAGTCAGTGAATCTAATCAGTTCAGGCTGAGAGGAAATTGTTGAAGAGCAGGATATGTGGATTACCAGAACAGAATCTTCACAAGATGTAAAACATATTTTTGACACCAAAAAAACCATCTCTGTTCTGTTTCTACTGAGGAATCAGTGTTCTTCCATTACTCCAAACCAAAAACATTTGAATTACTATAAACTTGTCTGCCTCACACACTTTTAAAAAATCACTATGCAAATAAACATATCACTGTGTTATTCATTTACTAAAATGTATACATATACTCCCTGTCTCATACTCATACAATTCCACTGTAAATCAACCAGCTATGGGACAACTCCTACCATGTTTAGTTTTAGTGCTACTGAGAATAATTTTCTCAGCAAAGAGGAATTAATATCCACATTACAAGCTGAGTTACAGTTACATAGCACAAATGACTCATGAAGTTGGGTGCAGCAGGAGGACTAGACTAGAAGGCTATATCTGCTGGTACAGTTAGTAAAATATTTAGATAACCTTAGGCAGAGGGCTACTTGAAAAGCCTTCATCCTGCCACAACATATAAGAAATAACTTCTCAAACACACTATCCATGTTAGGAAAAAAAACTTATAGCCATCTGGGATTGAGCCCTATTGCACTCAGTGGACATATTGACATACTACTACGTAAATGTGTATTCAGTGTTAGAATTCTTAAATCATTCTAATATTATTTAGTATTAATATAATGTTATAGTATTATAACAATGTATCATCATTAACAATTATATTTTAATAGCAGAAACAAATACATCTAAGCAACAATTTAACATCGTCACTGATGTTTTCATACAAATATAGTTTATTGCTCAGATTATTATAATTCCTTGTCAGATTATTATAATTTATGAAAATATGTTATTATGGTATGTATATTATACAATATATAATTATATTCACACCCACACAATATAAATGATTCACAACTATTAAAAATAACCTTACCAGGCAGAGCTTTGCACACAATATTTCCAAGTTTAATATCAAACTGAATAATCATATGTGCATATTTTATTGGTGTCCTGGAATTTATTTTATCTGTATTTATATATTATGCTGGAGGTATAAATGATTCTTATACATTGTCTACTACACTGTAAATACAATGCAGGTAAACTGTTTTTACAAGTAAATCTTTTAATATTAATTAATTTATTCTTAGCATTAAAATGGTTAATTTTCACAAAAATATTCAATAATTTAGAAGCATCCTAAAGCCTTTTAAAACATTAACTTAAAAATAGTATTTTTCCATTTGGTACAAATTCTATATTTGGTTAACTTTTTAAAATTTATGAAATTCTGTACCTTTAGTAACTATTTGAAGCTTTGATGTAACAGTATATAGAGAAGTTTTTCCTTTTCATCACTTTATTTTGTTTCAAAAGTTTAAACCAAGTTAAAGAGAAGAGTTCTAATTGAAAGTTTCATGTGGTATTTTTCCATTTGGCATTTGTTGTTATTGCAAAATATTTAAATGGATAAACATCTACTATTTTTTGCAAGCTTCATACAATATGTAAAACAGATGCAGGCTTTTATTTCAAATGTATGCCAGGAAACAGACAGCTGGGCAGTATTAGGTAGATCATTCAGTATTATCTACAAATAGACAACTTCATTTCTGAAAATTAGGAGATATACATTTTGAAAATTGAAGCATGCGTTTGTTAAACTAAATGCTTATTCTAAAATTGAGCGAGTCTGGTAGCAAAGCAGGTATTTGATCCATTCTGCTGGCAAGTCACCCTTCCAGAGCAGAAGTGGGCTAAAAAGTAGATTTTGGACTTCAGCCATGCTGGAAGGAATTTCTGGGAGTTGATGCCTTGAATGCCTTCCTCCTATCCCTGTTCTAGAAAGATTCATATAACACCACAGGATTTAACATACAAGAACAATTGCATTGGAGTAGCTCTGCTCCTACTTGACCAGCTTGCTCCAGAATGTGATACTGGGGGATTATTGTTTTGTGCCATGACAGTTGTGCCAAGGAGTATCATAGGGTTGCATTTTATCCTCTATGCTATTTAACATCTACATGAAACCACTGGGACAGATTAAGCTGAGATATGGGCTGGGGCTGAGGTGTCACCAATATGCAGATATCACTCAGCAATACCTCTTTTTTCATCAAATCTAGGAGAGGCAGTAGCTGCTCTTAATCAGTGTCTCAGCATGGTAATGGATTGGATAAGAGCCAACAAATTGAGGCTCAATCCAAACAAGATGGAGGTGCTGCTAGTGGCTGTCTAGTTGGATGATAACCAACGTATTCTGAATGGTGTTGCACTCCCACTAAAGAACAAGGGCCATATATTTCTTTTTTCCCCCTTTCTAATATATATTTTTTGAAAATAAATAAATAAATTGGGGGGCAGGGGACAAGATTCATAGTCGGGGGGGGGGGGTACTCCTGGAATTCCTCCCAGAATTATCACTTGAGGTACAAGATAATCAGTGGCATGAAGCACCTTTTATCACCTTAAATTGATATATGAACTACAACCAGGACAGAGAAAGCCTAGCTACAGTAATCCGCACTCTGGTAACCTCCCATATATACCTACCCAGAACCTGAGGTAATCTTCAAGGTCCTTCTCCAGGAGCCCCTTCCAAAGGAAGTGAGGCAGATGGCTATCAGGAGGCAGGCCTTTTTGGTTCTGGAACCCTGGCTTAGGAATGAGCTCTCCAAAGAGGTGCACTTGAAACCTACTTTGTATTCTTTTGATGCCAGGTGAAGTCCTTTTTTATTTTCCCAGTACGTTAACCATCTCACTTTTAACTTAGTTTTTATACATCCCATTTTATTTCTGTATCCCTGTTTTGCTTCTGTGCTGAATAATAGCAATTGCAATTATGGGTTTGTTCTTTTAATTTTATTGTTGTGTGTATTTTTAACTTTGCTTTAATTTTAATTTTGTTAACCTCCCAGAGAGGCTCAGCTATTGGGCAGAATATTAAGTAAGTAAGTAAGTAAGTAAGTAAGTAAGAAGATTTCAATGTGACTCTGTTTTTGCCTGCAAATTCCCACTGCTTTATTTAACTATGGCATTAACTATGAATCAGTCACCCAGGATTTGAAACTATTGTTCCAAGACAGTTTTAAAAATTCATATATTGTATAAAGAAAATCCCAACACACCTCTAGCCGATTATAACTCTTTCACAAAAAGTTTCAAAGAAAAATACTGTCTTGAGCTAAGCAAACCAGAAAATTGTTCCAAGAATGCAATTATGATAGTATGCAATTCTGCTGTGTCTCTACATCAGGAATGATTACATGGTGATAGAGAAATGACAGAATTACTTGATCTCAGTAGTGACACCTTCCTACAGTGATTCAGTAATACATGCAACAGGTAGTCTCTTGTATGAGCAGATATTTTGGCATCACAGGAACTTATATTTGTTTCATTTGTTTTCTTCCTTGTGGTTAAATAGAATGCATTGGAACACAGTTTAGGAATTATTGGATTAAACTGGTTGGGGCATCTGACAGAGCTTTAAAAAGAAAATAATGGGTTAATATATTTGATATGCTATTCCCATGAACAATGAATTGAACAGCCTTTGAAAGTCCTATGTATGTGAACTCATACATAAGTTCAAGTTCAGTGGAACTTGATCCAAGGTCATAAATATAGGATTACAGCTTTAGTATTACACAGATTGAACAGATACAGTCATGCACAAATGACTATGGAAATTATATTATTTATAAGATATACAGTGGGACTTTAATCTTAACCTCTACATAAAATTAATTGCATCTACCTAAACTTAATTGAACTCAGTGGGAAATATAAATGGACAACTGTCAGAAAGCTAAAATCTAAAAATGGCACATTTACTCCAGCTAGCACTGAAGTTATATATAAAATTAATCAAAAAGAAAACAAAAAGACACATTTGTATAAAAGAGAAGTATAGTTAACTTCACACCTCATAAAAAGCTTTGCTGTCTTCCCAGTAGTGGCTCTCAGCATCCTGTAAAATGCTTGTAGCACAAACTCTGATGCAGTAGCCTGTAACTTGAAACTGAAGAATTCTGATCAGTTCCTGATATTGTTGCAGAGGCATCAGAAATAAGGGCCTGTTCAAATGCAATGATCAAAGAAGAAAAGATTTAAGAGCAGTGCAGTAGGAGGTAACAACCTACAAATGGTTTGGATTAGTACATATCAATCATTCATTTCTACTTGATTCTTAAATCTAAACCCACATTCATTTTAAATCTGGTCTTTGTTATAAAGGCTCTTTGAAAATCTACATCTGCCGTTTCATAAATGTGCACTCTACGACTACTTTAGAAAAAGAGCGGTACCATCCCTTTGAAAAAGTGTTTATATAAATTATCTGGATGGCTGTTTAGCTGTTCCTGAAATGCAATGTGCAATTCTTAAGTGGTAGTTCCTAAATAATGTAAAATTTAATAATTAGCTATTTTTAAGTAAATGCTGTAATGCTATGAAATATGCCAAGCAAGATAATTCTTATATTACTGTAGATTATTGTTGTGACATGCTGTCATCAGTGTTGTTTGTTTTATTATAATTAACAGCACAGAAAATCTATGTTCATGATGCCTTAGAAGTTTACTTAGGTAGGTGAATCCTAAGTTTACAACCTAGATTTTTTTATAGAAGACTAACAAAAGAGATTATAGGAACATAAGACATGCTGGATCAGAGCAACGGTCCCTCTAACCCAGCGCTCTGTACACAGTGGCAAACCAGATGCCCACAGGTTCCTTCAAGCAGAGGGAGTGCAAGACCTCCTGCTCAGCTCCTCGGCAACTGGAGAATGCAGGCATGCCACCTCTGCAAGGCTAGTAACCACTGATAGCCTCCTTCTTCATGAAACTGTCTAATACCTTTTTAAAGTCATACAGATGGGTTGCCATGCCAATGAATTCCAAAGTTTAACTATATGCTGTGTCAACAAGTACTTCCTTTTATCTGTCTTAAACCTTCCACCAATCAACTTCATGGGATAACCCTAGGTTCAAGCATAATGGGAGAGGGAGAAAAATGTCTCCCTATCTACTTGCTCCATACCACATTATTTAAAACACCTCTATCATGTCTCCCCTTACTTGTATTTTTTCAAACCTGAACAGTCACAATTGTCATAGCCGCAGCTCATAGGGGAGCTGCTGCACTCCCCTGATCAATTTTGTTGCCCTTCTCTGCATCTTTTCCAACTGATAAAGCCAAATCATTAAGTGAGTTACACCAACTGCCCAGTTGAGATGCAACTCTAACTATAATTTTATTACAGTTATTTATTTTCTCATTTCCTCAGGTTAAAGAAATGAGAAAAAGTTCAAAATATTTTAAGAAAGGGGTGACCATCAGGCACGAAGGCTAAGAAGAAGTTGTCAGAAAGCCAGTAAAGGATTTGACAAAGGATGTCACATGGTCAGAATAGCAAGAGAAGTCAATTATTATTATTATTTTTTTTTTTGCAGCAGATCTCTAAACACACATGAGAAGGAGGATGGGTGGCCATGGTTTTCCAGTAGGTGGCTTTGCTTAGTATCATCTGTATACAGTGCCAAACAGAAATTCTTCAGAAATATGCTTATTCATAATTTTAAAATTTCATTTCTATAATATACAAAAGCTGAAGCTTGCTGGACAGTTTACAGCAGTTCATAGAAATAAAACAACAAAATACAATACAAATTTTCAAAATATAAACATTTTAAAACCAAACATTTTAAATATTCTGTATGCAAAATGTTACATGACCTAAGATTTTTATCTATGCTCATGAGCAGTATAGATACTTTAACTATTTTTCATTTTTATAGCAACCAACTATTATGCCACCTTGATCAGAAAATTAGAAAGCTGCAAAAATGGTAACTTGACAGTACAAACCACAATATTAGGTATAATTAAATAGAAGTAATCTCCACTGTACAGAATGGAGCTTACTTAGGACTTCTGTCTAAATCAATTATTTAAATTTCCCTTGAGAAAAGATAACTATGGGGAGCAAAAAAGGCATAATCAGAGCTAAGTCTTCCTGTCTGGTCAACTAGCTAGATGATGCTGTTGATGGGGCCTACAGGGAACACAGTACACTAAATACAGGAAGGCTTAGAAAGAAATAGGAGTGATTCTATCTGCATTAATAGAAGTATAGCTTCCACACACGTGAGATATTGGTGAAGTACAAATCAATAGCTGTAACTTTCATGGATAAAATCATGAAAAGATTAACACATAGCTGGACCAGAGAGAAACCTTCTTTTCTAGGTATCAGCATGTGTGTATCCTTGAAATGTAGAAGACACTAATCAGGCACCATTCCAGAGAGGGCCAGTTGACGCTTCACAGATAATAGCATTTCTACCACATGGAAGACATTCAAGAGGCAGTTGGACAGTCATCTGTCAGTGATGCTTTACCTTGGAGTCCTGCATTAAGCAGCAGGTTGGACCTGATGGCCTTACAGGACCCTTCTAACGCTACTATTCTATAATTCTATGCTAAGTTTGAGATGCCACTCAAATGTCTTGGTAACATGTGGAGGATGAAAACTCTGGTATAGTAGATCAGAAAAGAAATGGAAAGAGAAAAAAAATATTAAAGGAGTAGAAGTAATATGGTTTTCAGTTTGAGGTTTTTGATAAAAGAAATTTGTTGCATCACTTAAACATAATGGTTTCATTTACATGCATCTATGGGTATGTGTAAGCAATAGAATGGAAGAAACTCACTTTCCACTGGGCTCTTTCATTAAATCATGGTATGTCTTAAAATGCTGACAGATATGCACTGCCGTGGAGAGAATAGTATAGAGGTTCTGTAGTGGAGCTCTGGAAGGGACATCTTTACTTCTTTCCTCCAACCTCATCAGGACAGCTGTTGCTACTTTGCAGCAGGCCTCCACAAAAGTTGCTCTAATTTCCTGAAGAGATTCATCTCTGCACGCCAGAGCCAGAGGAAGCAATGTGTCAAGTTCTTCCATAATGTCATTACAAAACTAAGGAATATAAATGTGGCATCCAGTTATTTTACTTTGACAGCATTCTTCAATGCATCAGCAGTACAACAGTATTATGCTTGGCACAAGACAACTATACGTTTTATGCTCATTTCACTTTCTAATATTAAAGACTAAACTCCAAAAACACAACTTTTAGCCAAGTGCATGTTTTTTCTGTTTAAAGTTGGAAAAACTTGAAAGATAAAGGATACTTCACAGATGGTATCTCTTCTGTATAGAAAACCATTATGATTTCCACAGCTGCACAGAGTGCAGACAACCAGGTGATATTCTTAGTATGCTTTAGTAGCAGTTGCCTGGTAGTGTTACAAAGGGGGAAGAGAAACAGATGATCATTTGTAATATTTTTAGATAGGGCCTGGAGCAGATAATTGCAATTTTGATTGGGTAGGAATTCTAGTAATATGACTAAAGGCAGTTGAGAAATGGCAGTTGACAGTACAGAGTTGAATCAGTTACTGAGGGAGTTGATTATTAATCAATAAGAGATAAGTTGTGCTGCTGTTACAGAAGGACTAAGAGAAAACAGAGGGGAAATAAAAGAGTTAGTGCCTGTGTTATTCAAGAAAGCTGCCCTAAAATCCTTCAAGAATAAGGTTACATAAGTATGCCTTAAACCCTGATGAATAGTCCAAGCAGCCAGAAAAACAACAGGAAGCATTTTTGAAGTCAGAGCTAGACCTGTTTGTTAGTTAGTTAGTTATTTGGCTTATGTGGAGGCTTAGGGAATATGGCCTGCAGTAAAAGAAGTCTAAGAGGCTTGTAGCTGCAACAGTGTAATTTGTGTGACTTTTGAACACCTCAAAGTAAATATTAGTATTACATTGTATACAAAATAGCCTTTCAGTAAACCAACTTGTTTCATAGTTTATCTTTTGTCTAGTGCAAGGAACCATCTCATACACAGTTATCAGGAGGTTGTACTTATAAATTTATTTGATTTGTATCCCAGCTTTTTACCAAAAATAATGATTCTCTAGGCAGGTTACACATATAATTAACATGGATTAAAAAAGTAAAAAGAAATGCAATAAAACTTGACAATTATTGGATAAAAAATAAAAATAGCACCCAAGAAACTCTCCTGAGTAAAAAGGATCTTTGCTAGCCAGTGGAAAGACAGAAAAAAGTGAACAAACCTAGCTAGTTCAACAGCATGGGAGCAATGACTGTAATGTCCCTCTTTCAGGGAGACACCTCTGAGGGCAGTGGTCCTGGAAGAAGGGCCTTAAGATGTTCTACAGAACCAAGCAGGGTTGTAAGGCAGTATTTTAAATAGCCCTGTCCAAAGCTACATGCAGCTTTATAGGTTATAACCAGCATTTTGAATTCTACCTGGGAACAGACTGGTAGCCTATGAAGAAGCAGTTTCTTCATAAGTGGTGGCAGTGCTAGAGAGAAAATCCCCCGTATTTCCCCACTCTAAGTCTGTTTTATGAAATTTCCACTGATTTGGTACATTTACTCTCAACTCCTTGAAGCAGCTTGCAACATTTATATAATGTAGGCAATACACCAATATTTCAGTAGAGAGAAAAATAGCAATGATATAAACCTACTTCTGCATTTTGTTGCAAACTTCACAGATGTAGAACTTTTAATACAGAGTGTGGCTTCACAAAGCCAGTTTATATATTCAGAAAAATAAGTGGTAAAACTGGACACTTAAGACTTCAGAACATCCACACACCGACACACACACACATACACACAAGAAAATCTCACTTAATGTCAGGACAACGTCTAGGTTAAACTATTCTTGACATGTTTGTCTTGTATGTTCAGTTTTATTTATAAATAAGGCAACACTGAAGCATGGCATACAGGACAAGCTTTGCCATTTTTATCTGCTGGATATATAAACTGGTCCACAGTGTGGAGAGAACTGATGCAAAGAGAAGACTCTTTACTCTCTATGGAGTTGTTGTTGTTGTTTTTAATTTTGGCTGTTCCATTCACAACCCCAAACTCTTCAGTCCCCAGTCCACAGCTCCGTGCTCGAGCTTCCAATTTATCTCCCATGTTCAAGGCAGATCTGAAGAACGCCTTTTGCATCTATGTGTTTTTTCTAGAGTTTTCCTCCCCGGTGGTATCTCTCTCTCTCTCTTTTTTTTTTTTTTAGCAGAAACTGATTAGTTTTCCCTGGGGAATCAGTAATGTGGCATGCCAATGTCTGAGAATATGTTTCTACCATCCCTCTCCAAATTTCATAGGTCCTCACCTATAGGAGATAAATTAGGGGTGTTTAATGAAATTTCAAAAAAAGTCCCTGGTAAATGTTAAGTTTGTTTTCTTTTTTATAACCATAGTCTATAAAGTACTATTAAATAATCTATGGCAGTTACTGAGTCCAAACATTTGGATCCTTGGGTATTACTGGAAATGCAACTTGTTCAGCGAATGGAAAATAAATCTGACTTTCCCCAGCCATGTAACATTTCAGATCTTTTCATACATACCTTGGAAATTTGTTTTGGTTGTTCCCTCTCATGTATTACACCCCAGGATTCCTTCATGGGCTTTACATATACAAGATGCATCACATAGCAGGTAGCTGAAGTCTGTTCATTCTGTTCATACTGCAGAATTTTACTGGAAAAATCTTCAACTACAATTGTTATACAATGTGCTACTGAAGAAGACAGGTCTCTAAATGCATTTCTCCAGCCAAACTCTAGCATGGCAGACTGAAATATAAAGGTAAATAACAAAAATTGAACAGGGTTTTTAAAAATGACATACATCACCAGTGCTTTTTTTGTAAAAAAAAGGTGCCAGAACTCACGTCGCCAGCAGTAAGCGCACAACCACACACACCAATTCCAAGCAGAGCAGCGTCCCAAGCCAAGAGCAGCGCCCGCCCTCACTATCTCACTATCAGATAGCAGATAGCAGACACAAAAGCAGCCTGCAGACACTATGTTAATGATGTTTGCTGCTGATCTGCTACTATTCAAAATCACTTCGTAAAATCCATTGGAAAAAAAGGTGCCGGAACGCCATTCCGGTGCGTTCTATGACAAAAAAAGCCCTGTACATCGCAACCTTACTTGATACGTTTCCTATGTAAGCCCTAGTGAAATGAATAAGAAAAATCGTATAAGAAACAAACAAAAAGGAGCAGGTTCTTATATAAGTAGTATCTTTGCATGTGAGAAGAACTTAAGGTAAGTCTTTGTCCCCCTCCCCAACAGGTGTGGAACTTCTTCCTGAAAAATTGTCTCAGCAACTCTCAGAATTTAAGTTTTTTGTTTTTTTTTTCCTTTGGGGCTGACTTCATTTCTTAAACAATCTAGGAACCAGAACTGGTAAAAAAGTTTTGTCTCCTCTTTTTTTCATTCTTCCAGTTAAGTGTAATAACTTGTTGAGCAGCAATCAACATGAAACATATTGCTTCTTTACATGGAATATCTTTGTTTCCCTACCAACAAAGGGAAATTTGGGGTCAAACTTGAATTATTCTAATAAACCTTTTTACATTCTTCAAATATTGTTTGTCTTAATGTCTAAACAATCTTGCATTTCTACCTTAGATGATAGAAAGATCCAACATCTGAATAGTTATGCCAGACCATTTATTTATTTAGAAAATTTCTATGCCGCCCCATTTGCCGAAGCCTCAGGGCGGCTCACAAACATAAATAAACTTCGTTAAAATAATATAAATTAACAGTATAAATTAAGTCGCCCTGGCCAAAGAATAAAATAAATAAATACTATTACCAGTTAAAATGACATTTGAATAAAAAGGTCTTCGCCTGGCGCCAAAAAACAAATAACGACGGCGCCAGGCGGACCTCTCTGGGGAGTGCATTCCATAGATTGGGAGCCACCACAGAGAAAGCCCTCCTCCGAGTACTCACCCTCCTAATTTCCTTCACAGAGGGTTCCCAGAGAAGCGCCTCTCCCGCAGATCTCAGGGGGCGGGCGGGCGGGCATACTTGGAAGTAAGTGCTCCTTCAGATAACCAGGACCCAAGCCGTTTAGGGCTTTATAGGTCATCTCCAACACCTTGAATTGGGCCCGGACTTCAATGGGAAGCCAGTGAAGCTGACGGAGGACTGGAGTCATGTGAACATAACGCCCAGTCCCCGTCAGCAGCCTGGCAGCTCTATTTTGAACCAACTGAACTATCCGGACCATCTTCAAGGGTAGCCCCACGTAGAGCACGTTACAGAAGTCAAGTCAGGAAGTCACCAATGCATGTGTCACTGTCGCCAGGCAGTTGTACTCCAGGTAGGGGCACAGCTGATGGATCAGCCAAAGCTAAAAGAAAGCGCTCCTCGCCACCGCTGTCACCTGAGCTTCCAGTGAAAGCTCTGGGTCGAGGAGCACTCCCAAGCTGCGAACCTTGTCCCTAAGAGGGAGTGCAACCCCATTCAGGACTAGGTTCAATTCACCCTCACTGAAGCCCGATCCGCCAACCAACAGGACCTCCATCTTGTCTGGATTGAGCTTCAGTTTATTGGCCCTCATCCAGCCCATAACCTCGGCCAGGCACCGGTTCAGCACAGCCACTGCCTCACCTGGATTAGTGGAAAACGAGAGGTAGAGCTGGGTATCATCAGCGTACTGATGATTCCGCAGCCCATACCTCCTGATGACCTCTCCCAGTGGTTTCATGTAGACGTTAAACAGCAAAGGGGACAAAATGGACTCCTGCGGTACTCCATGGCATAGCTGCCATGGTGCAGAGCCATAGTCCCCCAGCACCTATTTTGCCTATTACAGCAGCTGATAATACATTCTTAGAGTAGGTATATCTTTCAAGGGTCACTAGTTCTCCTTGAGAGCAGGGTGGATTTCTAAGGCTTTAGTTGATTAAATAGAACTATCATGTGCTGCATTTGAGCACTCCAATATATTTTTTTTTCCTTGAGTGGCTTGAGTGAAATTTTCCACCCTAGCATGAAAGTCAGTTTTCAGCATAGGTTTGACTCAATACTTCAGTGAGAAACTTGTTACTGTCCTTTACTTCTTTGTCACTGTGGATGTCATGTTTGATTCTTCTTCTCCTGATTGATCCATGATTTGTCTGCTGATTCTCATTTCAAAATAGGATTTTACTCCTCTATTGCAGCTTATTGGACTGCTCTAAGGTCCTGCCCTTTCTAGATGTGTTTAACAGGAAAAGATTCTTTTCTACATTTTGCTGTCATGTCATGTTTGGGGGAAGAGGCTGAGGCCCATACTATCATCTTGTAGAGGTGGCTTCAACCATCTTATGCTAATAAAAGCATACAGCATGGCAAACATTAATTTGATTATATTTTTAAGGGGTCAGTCCTATGGAAATGCATATGGCCCAGACCTCACTCGGTCAATGCAGAATGAGAGGAACAGCAGAGACAATCTTATTGCTAGACAGTCATTTCCATCCACCCAGTGATAGCATCTAAGAGGAGAAAGTAGGTTAGAGCAGTTTCAGAATACATCTTATCCTGGCCACCCCTCTCTCCTCCCACAACATGACTTCTTCTATGCCTCTCTGAGGTCATTTTCTCAACCTCAGACAGCAGCCAGCACAATTCTTTCTGTATGAGCTGAAAGATGATGGAGAGGTGTGTGTGTGTCGGAGTTTTTATTTCCAGCTCTGTGGTTTGAGTATTGCTTCCAACCTAAGAGCTGGAAATCTAAATTATCCTATGGCCCCTCAGACAAAGTCTAGAGGGCATAGGATCATTCCTTTGATCTTTAATATCTGAATGACTTGCTTTTTAACACCTTGTTCACCCAAAGCCATATATACTGCCCTATTCTTTCCAATTTAGAGGCAATAATTTGCTAAGGACATAAAACCTTGTGGCATAATAATTAGTTATTCTCTGATGTTAGCATTGGGAACAGTAACCCAATTTGGTCATTTCTGTGATCCATTTGATGTCATAAGGCCCTATGATCTTTTCCCCCTAAGAAGAACACTGAATCTTAATCATAAAATAGTATTGCTGGAAAGGGCCTGGAAGACCACCAAACCCAACCTCCTACTGTTGCAGGACACTAGTTTACACCATCCCACTTACATGATGGTTCAGTTTTACCTTGAATGTCTCTAGCATGGGAGAGCCCTTGACCTCTCTAGGCAACTGGTTCCAATGTCACATTGCTCTGTCAGTGAGGAAACTTTTCCTGATATTTAGCCTACATCTAAGATGTTGCAACTTAAATTATTATTCCATGTCCTACACTCTGGTATCAGTGAGAAGAAATCTTGATCTTCTTTGTGACAGCCTTTGAGGTACGTATAGAATGATATCATGTCTTCCCTCCAACTTCTATTCTCAAGGCTGAACATGCCCAGTTCTCTCAGTCTCTCCTCAAAAGGCAGTGTTCCCAAACTCTGCATCATATTTGTTATTCTCCTCTGGACCTTTTCTAATTTTTCTGCATCTTTCTCAAATCTTAGTGCCCAGAACTGGACACAGTATTCCAGATGAGGAGTATAAGGGAACTAGTACTTCTCACGATTTGGAAGTAATAGTTCTATTAATGCATCTCAAAATAGCATTTGCCCATATTGCAGCTGTATCGTATTGTTGGCTCATCTTTAGCCTGTTATCCACAATTACTCCAAGGTCTTTTTCTTTTTCATTTCTGTTGAGCCATGTATTCCCCATTTTGTATCAATGCATTTGGTTTCTTTTTCTTAGGTGGAGGACTTGGCACATGTCCCTAGTCAATCTCATTCTACTACTTTCAGATGAGCATTTCAGTTTATCAAGATTGCCCTAAGTCTTCATTCTGCCTTTTGGGGTGTTTGTTATTCCAACCAGTTTTGTATTGTCTGAAAATCTGATCATCTTTCCTTGTACTTCCTCATCTATATTATTAATAAAGATGCTGAAGAGCACTGGGTCTAGGATTGAACCCTGCAGCACCCCACTAGTTACCTCCCTCCAGTTTGAGACCATATGTATATAAATAAGAATTTTTGATGAACAGATTAATGAGCCCTTTGGCCTTGTTGAGTTTTAGCCAAACATATTACATCATATTAAACAGATGATGCTAGTTGCTTAAAACATTATTTGAATGTGATGTATTACTTTTGATAAGTATCACTTAAAAGTTCTATAAATCAAAGTCCATTAGTATTCAGAGAAAGTGAAGGATGAACTGTCCCTCTTGTTTGCTCTAAGGTTGTTGCAGCAGTACAACTGTTGTTGTGTACTAACTGCAAAAACAGAAGTTTGTTTCCTATTTATATCAACCATGAGAAATTAAAAGAAGAGATTTTCCATATAGGATAATAGGCACATTAATATTTAATATGGAAAATGACAATCACAAATTCCAAACTTAAGCAGAAATGGGTAATGGGAGATATATATATATATATTCAAATACAGAAACATCTGGAACATTAAATAAAACCTTATGCAGTGACAGATCCATATCTTTTGTCCTTCAAATAGTGGCTTTGTTCTTTTAATGCTGTCACTACAGAATGGTTTAGCCACCTCTTTTATATTCACAAACTTTTCTTTATGAATTTTTTCTTCACTTTGGTCTTTGCAAACATTAAGTAATATGAGCACTTATATATAGGAAATTTATATTTATAAAATATATTTATAATCTTTTATATAATTTGTGAATTTTTATTTTCAGGAGGGCATGTGAATTAATATATTCTTAGCGATATCCTCTAGCCAGTGCAATCCACTGCAAATGGAAGGGTGCAAAAATACCCTATAATGATCTATCTGATCCTGGGAGGTGGGAGGGGTGGAAATGAGGCTGATTCTTAATTCCCCATGGAGATTTCCCTGCCCTAAAATAAATTCGATGTTCAGTGGGGATGAGAGAACCTGCAAACATTTAAAAAATGAGGTGAGTGAGAAGATGAGCAAAGGCCCATTTTGCCTGCCAGCAGGGCAAGCCCCATCTGGAAATCTAGGATAGCCCCCTACAGGGGAACACTAGCAGGACATTGGTCCTCCCTACTGACCAGAGGAGGATGGATCATCCCAAAGTTTAGACTAATTTCTATGTAAGTCCTGTGAAATATTAACATCTAGGTAATTGGGATCCATAATAAATATATTAACAGGCCCTCGTCTATACTGATGGAACTGAAAATATGACTTTGAGTGCTTGACTTATTAATTTTGATGTTACTCACCTTTTTTAGCGGAAGTAACTGTTCAGGAAGCACACCAGTTTCATTTGCTTTACTTTCCCCTATTAAAAGCTCTCCCTGTCCAGCTTTCTTCAGAACTCCTGTGCAGCATGATAAATAGGATCAAATTTAAGACAAAATTCATGAAAAAGTTCCTGTAACATATATCAGTATCATTTAAAAAGATATACAGACATGCATGTTCCCAATTTTCTACCTGCTTCTTGAAATTTAAGGTCAGTGTAAATGCATTATCCACACCTTTTTAACTGCTGTAAGCCTAATATTGCAACATTGGAAGGACAAACCACCATCTTCAATCCTACAGTGGGTGGAGGACTTAATGCTTTCTTTCCATTTTTGAACAGGTAGCCTTTAGATATAAATGAACAAATACATTTGTTTTTGCCTTTCTTGAATTCTATGCATAATTATGTCCAAGAAACCATGTGTGTGTGTCTGTGTGTGCGCGCGCATGCGTGTATCTTGCATATGTATTTATTGCCATGCATATAATCAAACTTTATGCTTCAAAACTGTAATTTTTTATTTTATGTATGTATTTATTTTTCTTTGTTTATGTTCTATTTATTAAAATTCAAAATTAAATTAAAGGAAACTATTCTAAAAAGATATTCAGCAAGTTCTAAGGAAATACTGACAAAAAGTAAAATGCAGGTTATCAACAAATTTCCTTTTTAAGTTCCATACTTAAACTTTTCAAGGGCAAATAATACAGGTGAACAAAGTTTCAGCCCTTCCAAGCTCTACAAAAGTTTTGCATGCACGAATGTTAACTCTGATATTTTAGCATGCATTAATTCTTATAATCACAATATAAAATAACAAAACTATTTGGAGGTCATTACATGCCTGTTTAGAGGTAGAGAGGCTTTGTGGCTCTCCATGATAGTCAAGCAGCTAAGCTAGGCTGCTTGATATGGGAAGAGCAGCCTGGAGGGTGCAGGTTAACCCTGCCTTACCTAAGTGAAGCCTGCAAGGTATGAGTAGAAATTCTGGGAAATGTGCATATTAATCCCTTCCTTCCACACAATGTGCTGTTATACAGCATTGAGAGGACAAAAATACACAGCAAATTACATGTAATACGAGTAATCCCCACTTTTTAGATGAGATCTGAAAAACATGATTGGAAGGGATGGAGATGTCCCTATAACTTGGACCATAGCTGGACCATAGCTTAGGTCACCAGGTGACATGCAACAAGAAGACTCTGAAGCAAAGTGTGTCTATAGCCACACTATGAGAGTGTGTGTAGCTGCACCACGGCAACCTGCAACATTCACCACTAGCTTTGTTGGGAAGCCGACTATCTGAAGGTGCTGGAGTCAGTATAGCTTGCATCTTAACTATACTTCCCCTCCCCACATGCTATACCCCCTACAGTGGGCTCAAGTTTTTTTGGAATCCGAAGGAAAATGATACACCAGGTCTAGGTTAGCTTACAAAGAAATCTATTGAGTAAAATGAAGAACTTACAATGCTAGCATGCTTTGAATCAGCAAATTAATCAGCAAGACTCCTATCAGCTGGAACAGACAGTCAACAAAGTCTACTGGTCTGGGCAAAATCTCTGAACAAAGAGGAGTTTTGCCCAAGCACCTAGTTATATATTTGCTCCTAATGCCATGAAGCCTAGCCCTAGGAAAACTAACAGAAAAGTTTCTCAGCCTAGCAAGTGCAGCCGTAACTAAGCAACCTACTGATAAGCAGGCTTACAGGGGAGGCTGGCAGATTCCCACAGGAACCACATGTCTGAAATGTAAGCTACTGCAGTACTGGAATGCAGGCCTTGTTATCACCTCTGATAGCAAACACCTGCTCATGATTTCACATGGTGCTAAATGTCTGATGTTGGTCCATTTTCCCTGTCCAGAGGCTTAAACTAGGCAGATGAGATGGAAGAAAGCACCAGGTGATGCAACACCCTACTGTCCACCATCATTGTACAGAACTCTTGCTCCCTGTTCCATTCTGCCACCATGTTCCACCCCTTTCATTTGTTTTAATTTTCTTTTTTGAAACCTCTTTCTCCCTTTCTCTTTTTATGACCAGCATGTGGATTCCCTTGGGTAGGTGAGCATGCCTTAGGCCTCTGTGCAGGTGACGATGATGACTGTTGGGTGCTGCTTCTTCTGGAAGATATGAACATCACATTGGGGTAGGACTCTCATTGGCCAGGATGTTCCTATGATTGAATGTGTCTACCCCAATAGTCAACTGACAGTCAATCATATGCTTCCCTGTTTTTGGCTGTTATTTTGGCTGTTACCCTTCCATTACCTGAGTGGCTGTACCACTTCTTCCATATAAGGAATAGAGAAAAGAATACAGTTCCAATAAATACAGTTAAAGTGAAATTAACATATTCTCTATATCTAGTAATTTAGTAGTAAAATCTTTTTGAAAAGCAAGCAAATATAATGATTAAAGGGATCTTCATGCTCAAACAAAAACCTTTTATCTTGTTTTGGTCATGGAAATATGAACGAGTCATGGAGAAAAGAAATGTTTAAAAATTTATTATCATTTTAAGCAGGGAGGGGGGAAGATCAGCAAGTCTTACTTTGTTATACGATTCTAAGCTTTTCTACCAAGCTAATAAAAATAATATATTTGACTACTATGTTCACATGAAACTCTACTTTCTATTCATCATGCTTCTTAAAAATAATCTTTATTAGAGAAGCTGCTGCTATCTTTAGGATCCACACACAGAGACAATATAATGTCTATCTGACTTCAAAGCTACCCATTAGGGCAATGACTTTGCAAATCTGATCATGTAATTCTTTTATACTGCTTTCTAGAGATTTATATGAAGTAATAGATTTCTTCTTAATCTGTTAAGGAAAGACCTTTGCAAATATTTCCAGTCCCCTGAGGCAAAACTTGAAAACCTAAGGCCTTGACAAGTTTGCCCAGAGTGGTTTCAAAGAGCTCCACTGGAAAAAGCTTTTCTTGGCACTCATTATCAGATCTGTCTAAAGTTCACCTTCCTTGCTGAAATAAAAAAAAGTGAGAGGAAGATGAAAAGTGTGTTAGATGTTTTTGAAAATCTCAACAAGAGACTTCTGAAAGACCAGAGGAAAGAGAAAGCATACCGGAAGGAGAATATAATTTGGCCAAACATTCTAAATAAGGATGTTCTGCTTTATCCATGGCTGCTGCTGAATGTTCCAGGTTCCTTCAAAAGATCAGCTCTCATACAAATTGTACTAGGTCTGTATGGATGTTCCACTAATTTGATTGTAGTGTAAATCAAGAAGAACAGAACCAAGAATGAGCAAAGAAAGGGTTAATTCTTCTCAGTGCCACAAGATAATACTAATCCCATGCTCACATGTTGTTCAGTTTTCTATTAGGTATGGATAAGCAGAGACTGGAAGTTAGATTATACTTCTTTTTTCTTAGAAAAAATATTTTTTGCTGAATTTTACAATTGTTAACTGGCTTCCCTGGTGATACTCCTTTCATGGAAGAGGCAGGGATATCAAATTGGCGTTGAGGTAGAAATTTATCAGACCTTGAGCTCCAATCCATGTATTTCTAATAGTGTTTACGTTCATGTAACTGACAATATTTTTCAGACTGCTTTTCTTGTGAACAGTATTCATCTATTTGTTCTGTCTGGAATTTGATAATTTATATACATGGTGCTCTCAGTGAAAAGCACTTCCATTTCTGAGTATAAAAAAGTAACTGCAGGAAGAAAATGAACATACTGAAATTAAATGAAATGTTTTTGAAAATACTGTTCTACATGAACATATGCATTTTATAGTAGTAGAACCAAAATGTATTCAGTTCCAGAGGACTCAGGCTGAATTATTTTTAAAAAACTGCAGATAACTTTAGTACGCCTTTTACATATTTTTTTAAAATACTGTTCACTTTATTTCTACTGTGTCCCTTGGTGCTATTGTCCGCCATGGGATTACAATCAGAAAGCATCAATGGGCAGTACTTCCTTGAGTTGTGCTTCTTTCTTCAACCACCTAAATTGGCCTTCATAGGTTGCCATTGTGCAAACTGCAAAGGAACTTGTCTTGATGGCAGCTAGAAGTAGTGTGAACTATGTGTTTCTCTCTTTCTTCACAGTTCTTTTTCTTTTGGTTCACAAGCAACCTCCTACCAAAAGCAGAATCTGCAGAAGAGACTACATCCAAGTGATAATGCTATGAAAACATATGAAGAAAAACCCAGGTGGCCACCTTGCAAATTTCCAATGTGGAAGCCTTCGACCTCTCCGCCCAAGCAGCAGCTATAGTCCTAGTGTAATGAGCTTTACAAACCCTGGGAGCCACTTTACCCTTAACTACATACGCCTTCCTAATACAGTTCCTTAACCATCTAGCTAAGGAACTCTTAGAAGTCATTTGACCCCTCTTAAGACCCCCTAAGAGTACAAACAATCTGTTAGAAGATCTGAAATCTTTGATTATTCTGAGATAAACCCTAAGTGTTCTTCTTACATCCAATTTATGCAGCCATTGCTCTTTGTCATCACTAGGTCTAGGGAAAAAATGATGGCCAAGAAAACTCTTGGTTTAGCTAAAACTCAGATACTACCTTTGGCAAAAATAAGAGGAATTTCCTGAATAACTATTTTTGATGGAGTTTTACAAACATTCTGTGCATCAAGTCTGAAGTTTCCATATCATATGCTGAACAAAGAACAACAAACTTCCTGTTCTAATGCTCTCTTTTTTGTGTTTTGTAATTAACTAGAACAACTTAAGTATACGGCTAATCAGAGCCATTTCACAACAGAAAAATGGCTCAGAGCTCAAATTTATTCTATGCTGGAAAATTCCACTGATAAAACAATCCAGTTGTTCTGCTATCTTTTAATAACTGTGCAGTTTTTTTTAATAGAAATGTGGTAGCATCAGCCAAGGTAATCTACCACTGTACTTTTGTATTGCCTCTAGATTTCTCAGCAGATTAACAACTGGCCATTCCTTCCCACATGGCCTCTATTAGGATATTGCTGTTCTCTCTCCTCACATATAGGTTGCTGTTTTTTATAATAAGTGTTCAACTCATAGTTCCCCACTCTGAGTAATCCTCAAGTTATATTTTGGTAATTGAAAACAACCCCTCCTTCATCTTACAAAATATGCTTATGCTAATTCTACTTATACTGAATACTTAAGTTCAAATTTATGATAATTCCATTAATTTTAAAAAACATGATGGAGAAAAACTATTTCCAGTATTATATAAACACCAGAAAGAAACTGAAGTTATGAGATCAATAAGAAGGTATACTATTTTCCCATCACCAATTGTTCATCCTACTGAATTTCTGTGAGACAATTCTTTTGGAGGAAAGAATGTAAAAATGTACATTACCTTGAACATTTTTATTCTCTAAAAAGTTTGGCAATAACAGCATTTCTGAAGACAGTTCTTCAACCTTTTCTTCCATCAACAAAAACAGGTTTATAAGCTTGGAAAGGCATCTGAGTTGATGCAGTGTTAAACAGAAGTTTCTTCCTTTTCTGGAATATTCTTGAACATCTGTAAAGGAGGTAGGATAAGTTAATGTTGTACGGTATATAAAAGATTACAGCTCACGTATATGGATGTATATGCATAAGGATGCAACTCCATGAATGTTTAGGCAGGCAAAAAAATCTGCAAGTCTCTCAGCCAGTCTGGAATTTGCAGAACATTTTTCTCTCTCAACATTCATAGGATTGAGCCCCAGATGTAATAAATATGGTGCAAAACACTATAGAGAAATGTGCACTTGGTCATTACAAATTTTAAAATATTTAATATTCTTTTGATGCCTGTAAAAGGGTGGCTTTAATTTTTTTCCCTCTCCTTTCAACCAGGCAAGTCTAGAAAGTAGTACTGAGTATTTGTCAGATCCACGAAGTCTGTTGAACTAGAACCTGGCAACTGTAATCCGTTATGGCCTGACCTTGAAGAATGGTTGCAATAAGACATTATGTGAATAGTCACCTTTGAAAATAGTTCAGACACTGCAAAATATGGTGGGCAGTGTCCTTATTGGCCAGATCACTGCGAGCACATCCACCCTCTGCTCTTTCATTCATATTTTATATCAGTTCTTAGTTCTTAGTCACAATTAAATCTACTAGTTAATTGTTTACAGTACAGTACAGTTTGGGCCCAATTGCCATAAGGAGCACCTGCTGTGACCTCTGCCCATTAAGTTCTAAGAATGAAGGCCCGGAAATGAAAGGCAAATTTTCCAAATACATTGTTTGCGCTGCAGAAATGTCACTGTACAAATCACCCTATTATTTTCATACTACCTGAACAGAACAGTTAATATGTTTGACTTAAAAAAAAAGCAGTGGACTGCACCCAGAGTTACCCTGACATGAACAAAAGGGTTCCTTTGCTTTGAAGATGGGACTAGCGACAAGCAGAAGCTTGAAGGGAGGAACAAGGGCAGGAAAACCCATTTTTTTCCAAATGTTCCTTGTCCTTACAGCTGCCAGGCAGGCTTTACAAAGGAGCAGAGGAGACTACAGGATGGGAGGAGCAATTATGAAACATGGAGATTAATTACCGTGTACTCTTGTTTTCTGTAACTCATGGAGATAATTCTAGATCGTTTGGAAGGAAGTTCCTCCCCCTTTATGTAATGGAGAGCTGGGTCTAACAACTTCAACTGATCCTCCACTGGAGGAAGAGTCATCCTTTTACCCTCCCAGACCAGGCTGGAAGACCAGAAGAATTTCCAAACCCTATAGTGGTTCCTTAACAATTCACAAAATTCATGCTGATTGGCAACTGAAAACTGGAAAAGAGAAGAGAGGGGGAAAGGACAAAAGCTGAACCTTTATGGTGTTTGGCTCTCTTGAACAAGAGGTGAATAGAATAAGCTTAATAAGTTAAGTGGAAAAGGAATACACAATAACTAAATTACTTTTCTCCTTGTCCACAGAAGTAATCCCAGATACCTCAGGATTTGTAAGGACAGGACCAATGCACGGTGAGAGTTAAGAGGCATAGATCTTAAGGAACAACTCTATTTTGCATAATTTATCTCCTCAAAACTGCACCTATCAAGCAGAGTATCAAAAGAATACTGTCCTGAGACCCTTGTAAAGGATGGGATGAAAATGTTTCATGTAAGTAAATAATAGAATATATGCCTAGAAAAGCTGTGAACTGAAAACCAGTTGACCTTACAAATTCATTCTTCAAGAATGCCACTAAAGTGGGTACCCCACTGATACAATAGGCTGTAATACGCACAAAAGCTTGCTTCTCTAAAGTTTCATAATTTAAAATAATGTTAAACCTCTTAAATGGTCAATCTGAACAACTTCTTGGCCTCTGAGATTAAATGAAATAATAGAAACAGGGGCTCTAGGTTAATGTGAGGGAAATGTTCTGTATAAATAAAAGCACAGCACCATCCAGCTTATGCAGTTCTTTTTTTCTTGTTAATGCATCAGTTTCACACAAAATATTAGGAGAGAAACTTCCCAAGTCCTGTGAAATACTTGGGAAGGAATGGCAAATCTATGTGAAAAATCATCTTGTTGAAGAGGAGATACACAAATGGGGACAGGAAGATGGAGCAGCTAGCTCTGAAAGTCATCTTGACAATGTAACTGCTGCTATTTAAAAATGCCTTTAAGGTCAGAATTCTGATAAAGCAATATGACCACTACTTCAAACACTGCCCTCCTTAGAGTGAAGTTCAAAGGGGCTGCCCTTTCAGAAACCAGCATATGCGGAAATGAACTGAGACTGATCCCTTCTTTGACACCTCAACATGCTGTTCAGTGCTGTTATTTGCTCTAATATGGTAACATGTTCTATAAAGGGCCATACTGCTCCTTCAATTCCACTTTGTAAAAGGGAGCAAAATCTTTTGGTGCCCAAGGAATGAATTGTCATGTGGGATACCTCTGAGCTGCATCATAGTAGTGGGCATGGCAACTTCCTCTCTCACAAACCATCTAAAAGAGAAAAGAATTATAGTAGTGCCCCAAAATAGTCTTCATAATAGTGTAGAAAGGAAGCCAAAAGAAGCATATGGGCTTCAAAGACTATACTCTAATGCCCACAGTATGGGAAACAAGCAGAATGAATTTGAACTCTTAATACATAAAGGTAAATATGATTTGACAAGACATTACTGAAACTTGGTGGGATGATGTTGAGTTAGAAGAATCATAATTTTAATGAGAAGAACCATGCTTTCCTGATTCGTGAACTAGCTAAAAGCGGGCTAGAAGGAACAACTATTAAGTGGATCCACAGTTGGCTGTGAATTTGACTCAAAGAGTGCTCATCAATGGCACCTCCTCAAACTGGGGAGAGGTAACAAGTGGGGTACTGCAGGGCTCAGACCTGGGACTAGTGCACTTCCAGATCATTAATAAAATGTTGATGAGGAAGTAAAGGGAATGCTGATCAAATATGCTGGTAACACAGAATTGGGTGGGATAGCTAATACCCAGGAAGACAGAAACAAGATTCAAAGTGAATCTAACAAAACAACAAAAACTTATGCTCATAGTACATGAGGGCAATTGCATTCTTACAGAAATAACTGGAACTTGGTAGAATGACTCACATGACTCAAACTCTACACTTGATGGATACAACCTGTTCAAGAAAAATAGAAAGGAACAAAAGGGAGGTGCAGTCATACTATATGTAAGGGATACATATATCTGCACAGAAATATAAGAAGAGGAACTGAGTAGCCCAACTGAAAGCATCTGGCTTAATTTAAAAGGAGCAAAACAACAACAGCAACAACCCACGGTTATTTGTATCTATTACCAGCCACTAGATCAAAAAAAGGACACGGGCACAACCTTCAAAAAGAAACTTGCCAGTACTTCCAACAAAAATGATGTAGTCTTCATGGGGGACTTCAGTTTCCCTGATATATGCTGGGAGACCATTTCTCCAAACATGGCACCCCAAAGAAATTCTTTACATGTGTTGCTAACACCTTCCTCCAGCAGAAGTTAGAGGAAGGAAGAAGAGAAAGAGCTATGCTTGATTTAATACTAACAGGGGTGACCAGTGGACAAAATAGCAACCACCGGAACTCTGGGGGAAAGTGACCATGTGCTACTTGAATTCTCAATTATAAAGGAGACAAAAGTTAACTGCAGCCAAACACATACCCTGGACTTCAAGAAAGCCAACTTCAACAAACTCAGAACATGCCATGGCAACTCACTCTTAAGGGAAAAGGGCTCCAAGAGGGGTGGGAAATCTTGAAAAAGAAGATTCTTTGGGCACAACTACAAACAAGTCCAACAAGAAAAAAAGTGAAGACAGCAGAGCTAAGTGATAACCTGAAAGCAAAAAATAACATGTACAGGAAATGGAAGTAGGGCTAGGCCACAAAGGAATTGCAGGGGTTGCATCAAGAACACTAAAGCAGGAAATGATCTGAGAATAGAGATGCTAAGAAAAACAAGAAAGCCTTATTCAGATATATCCAAAACTGGACATGGGAAGGAGAAAGGTGTCCAAGTCCTACTTCACCTCAGTCATCTCCCACAAGAAAATCTACAACAAAAAGCAAGTACAAGCTGAAAGTGAGAGGTAACAGCCCAAGATTGACAGACAAATGGTCAACGATCTCCTAGATGGGATAAACTGTCTCCTCTGTGAAAGATGTTAGAAGACAGAGTACCCGGAGGAGGGCCTTCTCTGTGGTGGCACCCCGACTATGGAATGCACTCCCCAGAGAGGTCTGCCTGGCACCGTCATTATATGCTTTTTGGCACCAGGTCAAGACCTTTTAATTTAATCAATATTTTAATATGTTTTAATACTGAATTTTATTGTTGTATTTTATTAATTTGCAGCCAGAGTGGATTGTCAATTTATCCACTCTGTAAGCCGTCCAGAGACACAAATAATTGGATGGCATACAAATTTTATAAATAAATAAAATAAACAAACACCCTCAAATCCACAGGCCTGATAAATTACACCCAGAGTCATAAAAGAGCTAGCAGAGGAACTCTCAGAACCACTGGCTATTATCCTGGAAAACAGGAGAATTGCCAGATGACTGGAGAAAGGCTAACACTGTCCCCATTTTCAAAATGGACCTGGGAACTACAGACCAGTTAGTCTGACATCAATCCCTGAAAATATTCTGGAGTAAACTATTAAAAAGTCAGTCAAAAAGCACCTCAAAGAAAATGCAGTGATTAATAAAAGTCACCATGGATTTATCAAAAATAAATCCTGTTGAACTAATTTAATCTCATTTTTTGACTGGGTAACCTCCCAAAAGGAGAGAGGGAGCACTGTGGACATAACCTACCTTTATTTTAGCAAAGCTTTTGACACAGTGCCCCACAACTTTATGACAAACAAATTAGGAAAAAGTGGATAGAAAAAATATTAGATGGATCCAAAATTGGATGCTAAATCAGACTCAAAGAGTGCTCATCAATGGCACCTTCTCAAACAAAAATAATGCAGGGCTTGGAAACACTGCCCTTTGAGCAGAGACCAAAAGAACTGGGTATGTTCAGCTATGAGAA